AGATCAGCAAATAGCTTGAATATCCTTCAGCAATGCTCAAGGCAATGAAAGAGTTGACTTGTTCATATACGCAGCTCCAAGATATCCAAGCAGTGGTAAGGCTGGCAGTTTAAAGACACAGAGTGATCTTGAAAAACAAATCAGCTGAAAAAAGAAACAACCTCTACTTTTCTGAATAATTGTCTTCCTCATGACACTTATTGCCCCCAGAATATTCCTTATGAAATTAATTAAGGATTAACTTTACACATGTTAACTTTCTAAACTCAACCCACTAGTCATAGTCTTCATAATATACAGTAGCTTGAAATATCACAGCATTTATTTATGCCATTTATACATAGCTGTTTGAAAGAGAAAACTTAAGAGCTTTGTAGCTGACAAAGGGCATAACTGACTGGAAATAGAATTTTGCATATTAGAATTCAAACACATAATAAATATGCACATACACACATGAAGTCAAGTACGAAATTAAATAGAGATTATCCTATCATGCTGAAAAATATGTAATACATCTATGAAATATGGAAGTTTAAATACTATCTTGTAAGGAGGATTATTCTCTTTAGAAGCTTTGCCTATGAAAATCAGCAATGTAGGTCAGTAAGTATAATGTTGCTTCAAAATGTATCCCAGCAGAATCAAACCTAATAAGTTATTGGCACAGTTCTTTTTCTCACATAGAAAACTTGTTAATACAGATGATACTAATTATCAAAGTCTATAGATATACCTGTGAAGCTTTAATTTTTAATCATGGTGAATGATTTGTCTGCAAGTAACAGAAAACCCAACCAAGAATTAAGAAAATATTTATTATTTTACCTAATGAGAACCTGAAATTAAGCAGTTACTCTTTCCATTATGTGACTTGAAAATCAAGAATCTGAATCAGCATCAGTGTTAGTTTAATTTTGGATTTAAGGGACAGGAAACCCCAAAATAAAATGAGGGTCAAAAACATGGAAATTTAATTATTTATTATGTAAAAGTTCAAGTACGTGGTCTGTGGCCAGAAAGATGCTCCACAGAATTGGAGATCTAGAGTCTATCTTGTTGCACCACTATTGTATCACTTCCATTCCCAATTCACCTTATAGTATAGGATTGCTTTAGCCAGAGCCACCTTATTTTTATTCCAGACAACAATAGGAGAAAAGGGAGAGAAAGAAACTATCAGAATTTGCATATCTTTTGTCAGAACTTAATGACTTGACAGCAACTAGCATCAAGAAAATTTGGTACATGTTAGCTTTATTTCAAGCAGCCGTGAACATAGTTAAAATTCAGAAAGCCTGTTATAAAGAAAAGTGTGGATCACCTGTTTCTTCTACAATATTCCTGAAATTTTCTTGTTTTCCCCAAGATATCAATTTTTTTCCCCAGTACTCCCACAGGAGACCTCCGATTACAACTCATTGGACAGAACTATGTCACGTGCCCACCTGTAATTACAAGGACAGTTGTGAAAGCAAGGATCTGTTTGAATGATCAAGACCAATGATAATTATTCTTCTCAGACTAGGAAGATTCATGTCAAAACAAAGTTCAGTGGCATGTACATATATACACTACCAAATGTAAAACCGATAGCTAGTGGGAAGCAGCCGCATAGCACAGGGAGATCTGCTTGGTGCTTAGTGACCACCTAGAGGGGTGGGATAGGGAGGGTTGGAGGGAGGGATACACAAGAGGGAAGAGATATGGGGATATATGTATATGTATAGCTGATTCACTTTGTTATAAAGCAGAAACTAACACACCATTGTAAAGCAATTATACTCCAATAAAGATGTTAAAAAAAAAAGTTAAAGTTTTGTTAGCAAGCAAGACTGGAGTTTAGCTATTGACTGGGTAAGCCACAGTGTTTGTCAATACAGCAATGTTTTGAGTGTGCTGTTAAAAATGCAATGATGTAATAAAGCCAAACATAAAAATACAAAGCACATACTTTTCAGTTTTGGAAAGTAATATTAGTGAAATCAGTGGAATTGATAGGGCGGAAGGAAGGAAGGAAGGAAAAAAGGAAGAGAGAGAAAGAGAGAAAGAAGGAAGATAGAAAATCAAAAATTATTTTGTTTCTAAATATTGTTTTGTTTAAATAGGAAATCTAAACATATTATATACTATTAGAATTGACTGAAACTGGGAATAAAACATATAAAATAATATTTGATACAGCTGAAATTTTTCAGAAGAAAATGTCTTAAATGTCTTATGGGAAAATAAGAAAGATTGAAAAATAAATAAAATAAATATTCAGTGTTTGAAGTAACAATAACAATATATCAAATCAAAATAAAAGAAATATGCAAAGATGAAAGTAAAAATTATGGGGTAAAATTCGAGAATGTTTTAGAACTAGATATCTATTAACCTAATTTAATATTACATTAAAAGATAAAAATATATAAAAACTTCTTTAGATACTAAAAAGGAATTGGAAACAATAAGTATACAATAAGTATACAAGTATAATCATCATGTGACAAACTAAGACTAGGAGAAATTGCATTTAATCTATTAAAGACTATCAGGAATCAATAAGAAACTGCTTATTAAGAGTGAACAAAGAAAAAAAGCCCCAAATCATCAATTATTATCCACATTATTCTTCCAATAAATATAGTAATAAAATTAGAGAATTGAATAATTCTGAATAATAGAAAGTTAACACAAATAATTCTGAATAATAGAAAGTTAACACAAATGATAATAATCACTGTTATCATTAATAATAAATAGAAAATATAGGTACATTAACTAACATAGTAGCTAAACTTATGAGAAAACTCAGCAAGATGCAAGACAAAATACACATAGTCTATACCATAACCTTGCTCTATACCATGGGTCTATAATATTATCAGATATAGCCAGCTTTTTAAAAAGGTAATGTAAAAGTATTTTATTCACAATACAAATAAAATAAATCAGAATAAAACAAACTCAAAATTAATCAGCAAGACTTTTATAAAGAAATAATAAATCTTTACTTAAGAAATATCAAACATGGCCTGAACAAGTAGAGAGAGATCACATTCCTGGAAAAAAGAATCACTGTGTAAAAGAGTTCACTTGTCTTCCAGCCTACATAAATACAGTACAATTAAGTTTCTATCACCCAGGAAAACCTGGATAGTTGGCTTTCCCTAGAATATAAACTTTATAGAGTTCCTGAACTTCAAATTGGAAGTGCTAGAAAGACCTCAATAAACAGCTGATCTGAGAATCAACAAAACACATTGCAAGACTTCCAATTTCAAAAGATAGACATGAAAACATCATGGTTAGACAAAATAATCTATGATTTCAATTATCACTCCCCCAACACAGAGCAATGAAAACCACAAGCCCAGTTGGTTCATATTCCCTGTAATAATTTGAGATACAGCTGCTGCTCACAGTAGCTAGCTCTAAGTTGAGAAGCCAAGGAACTTATTTCCAATAGTGGCTAATAGTTACACTGAGCCAAGAGAGAGAAACCAAATCAGTGACAGTAAATTTAATGTAATGCCAATAGCAATCCCAAGGTAACTTTTTTAAGCTGAAAAAATGATTCTAAAGTTAATCTGGAAGAGTAAATACATAAATTTTGAAGAAAAATTCTAATGGGTAGTTCTACCAGCTAAACTTTAAAGTGTTCTATAAAGATATTGTAAATAAAATGTTAAGTCACAGCACAGGACAAAGAAATCATTGGAACAAAACAGAGAGTACAGAAACAAATTCACAAGGAAATGTAGGATTTGATGAAGCATCGAAGGTTATGATATTTGTTCATAAAACAGTGTTGGGATAACTGAGTATAAATTTGAAGAAATAACATCTTTTATATCTGTTCCTCATGCCATAACCAAAACAAACAATCAAAAGGATTAAAATGAAAAACACTAAGATTTCAGAAACACAAACAAAACACAGGTAAATTTTTAGAAAGTATGCCAAATATTCTGGTGGAAGTTTTCTTCTAAGCATAGGTAATCAGAGACAACAAAGGGAATGCAGTAAACAATATAAATTACCAGATCCTCAGCACTCTGTAAGAAAACCTGGGATAAATCCTTGCAGGGGAGACATCTCATCCCTAATTTTTATTTTTCCTGAGCACAATAATTTGAAATCCTTGTCAACCATTTAAAATATACATAAACAAATTCTTCTATAACATTCATAAATCCTTTACTTTTATTTTTTTCATCTTGAACTCATATTTCCATTTCACTCCATCATTAAATTACATGATAACACAATATCATTTTATGCTTAAATCTCTTTTATTAAACAATCCATCTTAATTCTGTCATGAAATATGTATATATAAATTTTATATTTTGTTATACAAGGCTTTATTTAATTGTTTTTCTTCTAGATTGACTTACATTATAATTATGATTAGTATGTAATTGATCTTAGCACAAACATACTACTAATTTAAGTAATTTTAAGATAAAATAATTCATTCAAAATGTATATCTCAATGAGATTAATAAAGTTATTTTTTAATTACTAAACTTATCCATGGATAAATATGTTATTGCTGGAATATGACAGTTTATAGTCAACCTACTGACAGTTTTCATTTTATTACTTGAAGCAGTAAAGAAACTTGTTTATCTGTAAAGCGGATAGGAATGAAAGAGGTTTTATTTTAACATCTCTCAATTCTTTGAAATCCTTCAGAATTACATGCCAAATAACATAAAAGTCTATTATCAAAAATTATTATTAATTATAAATCAGTTGATTTGGTTATGGTTTAGATTTGTGGAAAGCAAAGAACGTGAAGTAACCTGAATTAGAAAAAATTTTAACCCAGTAATTAGCATCATTCATTGTTTTTATTTGAGGGGGGTGTGATACTTAATTTTATGATCAACTTGACTGAGGTAAGGGATGACCAGGTAGCTGATAAAACATCATCTCTCAGTGTGTCTGTGAGAGTATTCCCAGACGAGAATAACATTTGAATTGATAGACGGAGTAAAGAAGAGTACCCTGCCCAATGCAGGTGGGCATAATCCAATTTGATGAGGGCCTGAGTAGAACAAAAAGGTAGAGGAAAGGTGAATTTGCTCTTTTTACTTGAGCCGAGACATCCATCTTCACCTGCCCTCTGGTATTGCTCTCCTGGTTCTAGGGCATTAAGACTAGGATTGGGACTTACACTATTAATTCTCCTGGTTCTTAGGCCTTCAGGCTTGAACTGAATTGCACCACAGGATTTCCTGGTCCACCAGGTTGCAGATGGTGGATCCTGGGCTTCTTGGTCTTCATAATTATGTAAGCCAATTCCCATAATAAACCTTCTTTTATACATATCTATGCATATGCTATTGGTTGTGTTTCTCTGGAGATCCCTAATACATCATTACAATCAACCTAAGTTTAAAATCATCATAAAATGATTATAATTTATGCCATAAAGGCATTTGGTTAAATCCATTAGCCATGCAGATTGGGTGAGTTAGCAGTTGGAGAATAACCAGGAAAACAACATCGACAACCAGAAACAACAACATAAACAAAGCTTCGACTAAACTTTATCAATATGAAACCAATACTCAATGGCATTCTGAACTGTGAAGCACTAGAGAATTCCAATTAAAATCTGAGGCATGTTGTCCCTAACATTTTTCAGTTTTCTAATGGAAGTTCCTGCCAGTGGAATTTCACAAAAAGGGAGAAGAGGAGACTCACTACTACTGGAAAGAAGCAATCAGAATCATCAATACTAGCATATTATATTACTGCTCACTTACTAATAAACTCAAGACAATTAAAGAAAAATAGGCCTAATAAGCAATTTCAGCTGATTAACAAATGAAGAGATTAGCATTTGACTTGATAGACTGAGTAAAGAAGATTGCCTTCACCAATTCAGGTGGACATCATCCAATCAGCTGAGGGCCTAGATGCAACCAAAAAGTCAGAGAAAGGGCAAATTTGCTCTTTTCTTGAGCTGGACATCCATCTTTTCCTGCCCTCAAACATCGGGTGTCCTAGTTCTCAGGGCTTCTGACTCATACTGGGATTTACACCATTGGCTCCCCTGGTTCTCGGGCCTTGAGATTTGAAATAGAACTACACCACCAGCTTTCCTGGAACTCCAGCTTGCAGACAGCAGATCAAAAGACTTCTCAGCCTCTATAATCATGTGAACCAATCCCCCGTAAGAAATCTCTTTCTATATATCTATATATACGTATATCCTATAGATTGTTTCTCTGAATATTTTTCATTAATACAGGAGGGATCCCCCAAAATGCTTTATCAAGACTCTGTAAATGATAATTGATTGTACCTGTTATTCTTTCTCTTTGGTGCATCTTGTTTAACTTGATATAATAAGAAAAGGCTTCTATTAGATGATAACTTTTATGTGCCCCTCCAAATTCTTTCTCTTTCCTTCTCTGCCCTGCTCTCTGCTCTGCTATGCTGACTTGCATCAAGAAGTCAGTGGGCTTCCAAGCCTTCTAAATTTCTCTCTGGCTTCAGCTAAAGGAAGACTTAGCAGATTATCTGAAGGAGAGAAGGGAGCGAAATCAGCATCTTTATTCTCCTGAATCCTTCTGCTTCAAGACTGACTCATACTGGCTGTGTCCCTAAATAAAAGGCAGTGCTCATTTCCAAGCAGCCTTGTCTACAAGATTGACTCTCCTTCCAGGGTTCAATAAGCCCTCCCTTCCCTTCCCTTGTCCTTGTGGCTAAGTGGTGGTGACAGTTTCACTGCTGCTTGGCCCTAGTTCTCATTTCACTGCTTGTGGTTCCTCTATAACTCCAACATTCCCCTTTGTAAATAAACTGTCTTCAAAAATTCTAATTTTAGGGCTTCCCTGGTGGCGCAGTGGTTGAGAGTCTGCCTGCCAATGCGGGGGACACAGGTTCGTGTCCCGGTCCGGGAAGATCCCACATGCTGCGGAGCGGCTGGGCCTGTGAGACATGACCACTGAGCCTGTGCTCCGCAATGGGAGAGGCCACAACAGGGAGAGGCCCACGTACCACAAAAAAAAAAAAAAAAAAATTCTAATTTTAGTGTGTCATCTGCTGAATCTTGACAGATATAGAGTTGGAGTTATGAAGATATTTTAATTCTGTTATAATTTTATTAATTTAATGTTTTTAAATGTTCTTAGCTTGAACTTTAAAGATGTATTTATCAGACATTTTGGAGCTGCAGATTAAGTTCATTCAATTTATGAAAAAAAATGTCCAGAATACAACCAAATTAGCAAAGCCAATTCTCATTTTCAAACCAAACATCCAATTCTTTCTCTTTGTCACATAAAGTCCTATTTCATTTATCATTTTGCATAAATATGTGTTTCAAGGAATATTATTAAAAAGATTGAGAAACAAATAGTGACACACATCTTGAAAGACAAATTAGTACATGCCGTGCACTCAAGATTGAAATGTTGTACATTTGACATGATGAGTTTATTTTAAATTATAAAAATTACATAATATATCAATATGCTATTTCCCATTATTTAGTTGTAATATGGCTATGCAATGTGCGTAGCTAGAATTTGTCATTTATGAGGCAAGGAGCATGATAAAATACATAATATTTCTTTGATAAACTTGTGTGGATACATATATTTTTGGCTTTCAGAATAATTGAGTAATAATCAGAATAAAAATTAGAAATAAATTTACTTTGTTATACATTGATCCTGTTTTCTTATATATTTAATGAAAGAAACAATTATCTATTGCTAAAACTAATATATCTGATAGCCTAAATACAATTTGAAAATTACAGATATAAAAGATTTTAATTTTATGTTTTATATTTTAATTTTATATAATTTCTTCTGAGTATAAACAAGTTGAGTTGACTGTCATTGGAGATATAGCTTTTGATATGATTTAATAAAATAGGTTTTAACTTCCTTATTAAATAAGGTGAAACTACAGGTCAAAAAGAAATCTCTCTCTCTCTCTCTCTCTCTCTCTCTCACACACACACATACACACACACACACAGGTTTTATACTGAGACCATTTGCCTTCAGAAATTTGCTGTACAACATCCCACATATATTTTTATGTATTTTTATTAATAGCACAGAGTCTTCAGTTTGAAAGTGCTTTTGAAATGAAACAGGGCTCTATGGTCCTTCCTGCCCCCTCTTGCTTCAGCCTGCCTTTTGTCTGTGAAAAAAACCTTTAGCCAAACAATAAGTTTCATCAGAGAAGTGAGAAAATACAGAAACAAAAGAAAACAGTCAAACTTGAGACAAAACAATAGTTTAGTCATTAAGCAAAGTCAAGGATCTTTACTTCCTCCTCAAGGATTATCGGTAATATCCTGAGCCTATCCTGTGAGCTGTCCTACAGATACTGAAACCCCCACCAGGTGGAAGAAATTAACTACATGATGACCAGACTGTAGCGGTGACATAAGCTGCCACAATTCTGAGAACTGGCCTCAAAGAAATGGGAACAAACTGACCCTGGAACTAAAGACTACCTTTACCTAAAACAATCAAGATGATGCTGATCAGACCACTGCATGACTAATTCCAAGGGAACCATCAGAACTTACAGTGCTGTTTCTACATGTAGCCCCTCCATCTATAGAAGCTCTTCCCCACTGATTGTCAGGTGGGGAGTCAGCTTTTGGACAGAAGTCTGCCCTCCCCCCACCCAGGTTGCTGGCATCTGAAATAAAGCAAACTTCCCTTTCCACCAACTTGCCTTTTTATTGGTTTTTGCGCAACAAGCAAATGTATCTACTTTACATTTGGTAGTATATACATGTCCATGCCACTCTCTCACTTCGTTCCAGTAACACTTCCCCCTCCCCATGTCTTCAAGTACATTCTCTACATCTGCGTCTTTATTCCTGTCCTGCCCCTAGGTTCTTCAGAACCATTTTTTTTTTTAATGATTCCATATATGTGTGTTATCATACGGTATTTGTTTTTCTCTTTCTGACTTACTTCACTCTATATGACAGTCTCTAGGTCCATCCACCTCACAGCAAATAACTCAATTTCATTTCTTTTTCTGGCTGAGCAATATTCCATTGTATATATGTGTCATATCTTCTTTATCCATTCATCTGTTGATGGACACTTAGGCTGCTTCCATGTCCTGGCTATTGTAAATAGTGTTGCAGTGAACATTGTGGTACGTGACTCTTTTTGAATTATGTTTTTCTCAGGGTATATGCCCAGTAGTGGGATTGCTGGGTCGTATGGTAGTTCTATTTTTAGTTTTTTAAGAAACCTCCATACTGCTCTCCATAGTGGCTGTATCAATTTACATTCCCACCAACAGTGCAAGAGTGTTCCCTTTTCTCCACACCCTTTCCAGCATTTATTGTTTATAGATTTTTTGATGATGGCCATTCTGACAGGTGTGAGGTGATACCTCATTGTAGTTTTGATTTGCATTTCTCTAATGATTAGGGATGTTGAGCATCCTCTCATGTGTTTGTTGGTAATCTGTATATCTTCTTTGAAGAAATGTCTATTTAGGTCTTCTGCCCAATTTTGGATTGGGTTATTTGTTTTTTTGATATTCAGCTGCATGAGCTGCTTGTAAATTTTGGAGATTAATCCTTTGTCAGTTGCTTCATTTGCAAATATTTTCTCCCATTCTGAAGGTTGTCTTTTCATCTTGTTTATGGTTTCCTTTGCTGTGCAAAAGCTTTTAAGTTTCATTAGTTCCCATTTGTTTATTTTTGGGGTTTTTTCCATTTCTCTAGGAGGTGGGTCAAAAAGGATCTTGCTGTGATTTAGGTCATAGAGTGTTCTGCCTATGTTTTCCTCTAAGACTTTTATAGAATCAGGCCTTACATTTAGGTCTTTAATCCATTTTGAGTTTATTTCTCTGTGTGGGGTTAAGGAGTGTTTTAATTTCATTCTTTTACATGTAGCTGTCCAGTTTACCCAGCACCACTTATTGAAGAGGCTGTGTTTTCTCCATTGTATATCCTTGCCTCCTTTATCAAACATAAGGTGACCATATGTGCATGGGTTTATCTCTGGGCTTTTTATCCTGTTCCATTCATCTATATTTCTGTTTTTGTACCAGTCTTGAACTTGTCTCTCCCACTTGAGGGGCTCAGGCCTGAAACCCAGCCAGAGCACAAAGACCCTGTCAGCCACTCAGCTCAGAAG